CTTTATAGATGCCAGATTTTTTTACGCCAGACGTAGATATGAAACTGAGGTTTTAGTTACGATTTTATTCATTAATGTATCCAGCAACTTTATGGAGATTCTTTTAGGAGGAACGTGGCGTGAGATTGCATATATATGTTGACATTAATACCATGTGCATGGTCGATGACGAAACTGATAAACTGTCAGTATCTAAGAATACTATCCGCCCAGGAGCCAGTGCATGATCATTTGGGCATATTTTAATTTCTTTTTTCCAAGAAACAATGACAAGATAAATAAAAAAAAGTCTTAAAAGGACTACAAATGAACTCATCTTCTTATCTTATAATGTGCTCCAGAAGGAAAAGCACTTCCTGATCCATTGGTGACACCAGTCATGGATACTGTTTTAAATTAAGGTCAAGGAACAGTAAATGGGCTATGTCACAGATTTTGGTAAAATTTTGCATACAACTTTGGCTGGCTGCATTATATCTGAAAATCGAAAAAAAATAATGCCTTTATCTCTTTTATTTTCTGAAATATTACTGATTGAATTCTTTCAAAAAGGTGAACATTTGTATAGAAAGCACATAACATGAACGAAAATGTTCATAAGTTTGTCTTAAAATCATTTAATTTCCAACTTTTGATACATAGATTTTTCGAAAGAAAACCTATATGTTGTTGGTAAATCGTTTTAATGATATAAAACATTATATGGTCACCGACTTTTACCGAGCAAACTTAAACTTTGTAAATCGAATAAAAAATTATGTTATGTAGAAACTAAAATTTCATCCTTCAACTGGTCATCTGCGGACCTTGCTACAATTAGTAAGATGATTTTTTACATACAAAGAGTACGATATTTATTGAACACATAGACTGCCTTTCATTCCGACTGGTGGTGATTTTGTGTTTATTCGAGGAGCACGGCCTGTCAATTCAAATGCCTTTGTGCCTCAATACGGACTTGACAGTCAAAATGGAGAAAGTGTGGTGATACATAACATATTATAGGCAACAACAAAAAAATACCCAATATATTGAAGGGCCCTTTTGGTATGGATTCAATCATACTAAAACTTTAAAATATTTTTTTTAGGTAAGAAATTATGTGGTCGTCTAGCCATGCCAGGAGAGACAAAACTATATAGGTTTGTAATTCGCGATAATGTTTCACAAAATCCTAAGTTGGGACTGCGGTGCTTTTCCTCATTCTATCATTCTGCAGGCGAAGGGTACGTCGAGGATGTTAATTTTAGATTGACAGGACCAATGACTATATGTAAACGTGGAGGATTATACTGGAACGGAAAACAGGTAAATGTTTAAGAATATATCTATTGAAATGTATTTGCATAAACAAAGCAGATTGTGACTACAATTGATGGGGCCATGCAGTGTTATATTAGAATTAAAGTTGTATTTGTCTATCAACTGAACACATAAATTCTCCATTTTTGCATATGTATGTACCAGGACAATGATATAATATGACGTAGGCTTTAAAACGGTCTCTGATATTAATTTTGTAGCTGTCGAGATTAACGAGAATTAGTTTTGTTTATTTTTGTAATTTTGTTTTACTATGATATCGTCAAATCAAACATGAATGGAATACAGACAACGTTTAAAGAAGATCATCACTGCAAATGTTTTAATTTCTACCGAAACTTCTTCTTATTACTTTTTTGGGCATTTTATACTTTTTTTATTCAAGCTCAAGCGTCAGTGATGAGTCTTTTGTAGACGAAGCGCGTGTCAGGCATACAAAACTTTAAGTTTATTTTGCATCGGTTTTTTTATATATATAAATGCTTTAATAATATTCAACCGTTAAAGGATTAACAGATGCATTTATAACGAAGGAAAGAAATGACCATTATTATTTTTAATGCTAAATGGAATTTGTGTAAAATGTAGATTTTGTATCACCCGTTTTTGTACAAATCAGAAGGTCTTGAGATTTTGCCACAGCTTGATGTGAGCATGCTTAACTATGTGACACGTTTCATGTCAACTTTACATTTATCGGAACCTCAAATATTCTTACACGTAATGGCCATTATAAAAACATGAAATTTTAGTCGCACTATTTCAGGAACTAAAAGTTCGAGCTTCCAGAAGATTGTTATCAATCTTTACATGAGCATTCTATACCTATACCATATGATGCAGTTTAATAGCCTTCGCTCAACAACTTCATCTTTACAGACTAAGTATAGCGGGGAACCATTAGTAAGCAATAGCTGACACTTATCATCTTGTTACGATTAAACGAGTTTTCTAATTGTTTACTTATATTTCCCTTAAATAAAATGCAGTAATTCTATAATCTTCCAAAATGTTCATACCAACTCTCTTGTGGTTTTGCTTTTTTTCTTTGAAGGTTGGATATGACAAACAATTTTTCCTACAAGCATCAGTTTACAACCCAAAGGAAAGTTTAAGAAATCCATATGAAGGGATGTATCCGGCTTACAGACCGACAACGATAACACGATTCCCTTGTAAGTATCACATGCATAGTTGATTTGATTTGATTATGAGGGAAAATTTAAATGATTCCAACTGAAAATATAAAAGTAAAAGTGAAAAATTGACACAAACACCGAGCCTAAAACAGATTAGCCGAACATATAAATATTAATCCAATTCGCATTACCCCACAACGAAAACTAAATTTAGAGAAACATGAGCCAAATTTACATCATGAAAGAAGAACCAGTGTACATTGAAAGGCTAAATTTGTCATTCAAATAATAAGTTTTGAGAATTATCGAGAAGCTTTTTTCTGTATATGGTTATTAAGGATAAAATTTTCTTCATCATTTAAGTCATGAGAAGCAACATAAATATTAATTTACTCGTCGAACTTAACAGACATACATTTGATGTATATGTTGTGTACAAGTTATCATTTTGTACAAAAAAAATTGTACAAATCAAAATTTGTATTTTGACTTTGTACAAATTGTAATTTGTGCATAAAAATGACTTATAACTTGAACAATGATTTATAGTGTGGATTTTGTTATAAAAAATACATTGATACACACTATTTAAACCATTGTCATGACGTCAGCCCATTCATTTACCGTGGATTCATTTTCTAGAATCAACACTTCCTAAATCTGTCGCTTAAATGGACTCACCAAATTATATTCAATTGTTTCCTTTGTGTGCCTTATTTCATTAAGTTTGAATTGGCCAATTTACTGATTTCTGTTCACTAATGGAATTAATTTAAAAACTCACCTTTAATTTTTGCATTTTTTATATACCTTCACTGGGAATAGAACCCCACCTTGAAATATGTTATGTGTGACTGATATCAACACATCGACGAAACCTCTTGGCTACCAATGGGTTGCAATTTAAATGTCTAGTTTATATATATAAATGAACATACGATACACATCGGTACAACGGACATCCAAGGCTTGTACATTTATGTATAATAATAATAGACAACCGTATAGTATGAGTTGGTAGCCACGAGGTTAACATGGTTAATATCAATGAGTTAAAGAATCAAGTTAAAGGTAGAGACTTGTCGGTTTAGGTTCGAATCCCTGTATTCTCTTTGTTGTCCCTATTCTTTAGTTTTTCCATTTTTCTTATTTTGTATGTTACTGTGGATATTTTTGAAATAATAGCGGGTTTTCCCGTTTACTTTTGGATTATAATTGGCTATTTCACATAAAAAAATGATTACATTCAATTTGTCCATTTTTGTTTTATAAATATAGTATGTTTTTATCTGTTTTACTACATATCTTTACAAATTTTTATTCTCAAATCCCTATGCGAGTTCATCGTGATGTGTCTAAAATTAGGCTTCTTGATAGAATTTTCGGTAGCATACTTATTCTATGTACTTAAAAATAAGTTTGAATTTGTCTTATTTTGTAAATTACGGAGGATATTTAGATACCTGGTAATTTAAAGACAGACGTGTTATGTTAAATTTATATTTCTCCAAACAATTAATTGTGAACTTAGATTTATTAACGCATCCTTGAACTTGATAACATGGTTATTTAAATTCACTTACAATACCTTCTAATTAAGAAAAGGCTTTAATTTATTTTGAAAAGACATGAACACAATAGTTTAAGTTAGATATACAATGAATAAGCGTTGATTCATTAAAAACGAACCATTCGCCCTCCGGGCTCATGGTTTCTTTTTAAAGAATCAACGCTTATTCATTGTATCTATAATACAGAATTTGTATTCAATGACCACACAATAAACCTTATTTACAAAATACAAAAATACCCAGATGGAGACAAGAAATGTCATACGTGCCAGGAAGCGTGCGCTGTCTGGCCAACAGATCCAAGCCGAATATCTAACCAAGAAAACGAATGATACATGTATTAAATGCCGATTTATTTTTTAGTTGAATGCTTTTTGTTTTATTATGGGAGTTAACCCCATATATGCAATGTACAATTACCCGTTACAAACACTTTTTATGTCCGCTATATATCTTCAGAATAATTTATGCGAAAAACAGAACTAAGGTCCATACAAGGCAAATAAAAAAACACATACGACAAATATAAAACAATGGCCAGTAGAAAAATATAACACTCATAAAACAATAAAGATTGAGCAATATTACCCCTGTCGAAATCAAAGGACAATCTTAGTTAATACTCCACTATTGGCACCATTGTGTTGTCTATAGTAGGTAAGAATTTGAGGCTGTAACAATCGATAAAAAGAGGAACATATCCGTCGTCACCTGAGGCGCAGATATTCCATTACGGCGAACTCAATCATGACCGCATTCGTTTTAATTGGTTAGTTCACATTAGGAAGTTTGAAATAATCACTTTTTGTCATGCAACTATGCGTACATTTTGTAACGACTTTCTAACATTATCGAAAGAAGTCAAAATATTAAATTAAAGATGAATTCTTGTTGATTGTTTCATGATATTCTTAAATATATGAAGGGAAGTATACCTAGTTCATTTCTAATCTGTATATTTGTATAGCAATAAATGGGTTACAGTATGGAAATGTCAAAGGACTAGAAATGTGTGCTGGCGAAACAGTCCTACTTAGTATCTTAGGATTTGCAGGCGATGAGGATAGGTATCAGTCTATAATCTTTGAGGGTAACAGTGTGAAATATTCTGGGCAAAATGTTGATGCCATAAGTATTGGGAATGGAATATCAGCCACAGTTATCATGACACCGGATAATATTGGTAAGAAATAGAATTAAAAATGCACTTCAAAACAAAGTAGTCAACTCAGTATGTGTGGATGCTTTGTCTTCGAGAATTTCATGTAAATGTTAAGAATTTTTGGTTCTAAACTAACGATATAATATGAAAATACCATTTCGTTTTATACTCTTACATAATTCTCTTTGTTTCTGCATCTCATTATTGTTTGAATTATCTGATTTGTTATTTGAAAAAGAAAAAGATTATCATTTTGAACTGATGAAAACAAAATGTTTTCTGTAAATCGGAGGCCTCTTCTTATAAACTGTTTCAACGTTGCTTGATATATCCAAATCCAGCTAATCGCTTGCCCTTAAAACATTTCTAAAAACTTTCAACCAGCCAAATATGCTTATGATGCACTCGTATGATATGATACGCATTATATTTTAATTATTGAAAAGAAAACAAATGAATCAATAAAGTTCAAAGTTAGACGAAAACACAGTAAAGCATGTTATCAATTTACCATAGATTGTTTAACAGTAAAACAGTTAAGATAGACACAAACTTGCTGTAATTACAAAATAAATGTTTTAATCTGATGTTCACTGGTAGCGCATTTAAATCTATGTTGTAATTGTCTCGGATGTCATTGAATAGGGTTTTTTCATGTGTTCATAACGTTTACAATACAACATAAAATGGTTTTCGTCCTCTATGGACTGAGACATGCACATTTTACATAGGCGTTGTTCAAGTGGCACATTTAAAAATCTACTCTTTTCAATATCTAAAGATAAAGTGATTAACGCATCCAGTCATTTTATCTCAATCGATATTCCTTGAACTAAACTACTTAAACATAAACAACACTCTTTTGAATTTTCCTCTTTCCTGTAATCTCGTGTATGAAGTTTTGAAAGGGAAAAAAAATGTGTGCCAAATCAAGAGAAAACAAAACCAGGAAGAACGGCTTAGACAGAACAGTGTTGTTGTCAAACTTCGATCATTGTCGCTCAAAGATGGAGTCTGCCTTCAAATTTCAGTTCAACTGATACAATATCAAAAAATGTTAAACTTATCAATTTTTAGGGGTATGGCTTATTAAGAGTGGTCAGACCAATTTGCAAGAAGATGGAATGATCGCTAAATACATTGTAAGAGACTGTGGAAGCAAATCCTATATACCAAAATCAATATCGTCAGGTGGTAAACTATGGCGATATTTCATAGCTGCTGTAGGCGTTGAATGGGAATATATTGAAAGAAAAATTCATCCTGTCACACTTGGAGATATGCGGGATCCAAACACGTGAGATAATTTGTAATTCCTATAACACCAAGAAATTTAGATTGATTTGTTGTTATATCTATCATTGGCACACAGCGTAGAATTGTAAAATCCTTAATAGATATTACTTCTATTGTAAAAAGATATATTTAATACCAAAAAACATATTTCATGCTTCCTGTTATTAGTTAATTACTGAAAACATTAATATAAAACTAAAAATTAATGTCCTAATCTAACCAAACTTACCCGAAATCGTCTACTAATAAATGTCTCATGGATGCTGATAAAATTTCTATCGTGCTTTTGTATACAGTGATAGAAATTCAATTTGAAAATAGAGGGAAACTAAATAATTCTTCGCTACAGACATACTCGAAGACATAATTGGTGTACAACTGAGAAACATTGCGTTGCGTTATGTGTAATACTGTTATATACATTACACTGATTTGATGATTCTGTTCAGATCCTTCCTTCTTGTCATGTATGCAAGTATAGTGCTTAATCCTTTAAGTTCAAAATTTTTGTTTTTGAGCGTTCAGGTTGAAGGTAAAATAAAAGTGTTTTCATTTTACAGTTTAGCCCAACTATAAGCCAGTATTGGTTACTTGCATGTAAATAGTGATATTGTTTTATTAAAATTGGCTGTTATAAAATTTTGGAAATTAATTTATATAAAGGAATTTATTCCTCTATGCATAGCTCAGATTGTTTCTGCAGGTATGGTTTTACTTTTGCTCCTTTTTGGTTTTATCAGTTATTCAAGGTAAGTATTAGGTATTGAATTTTCAAATATTATGGCTTCGATTATCATTGAGGAGACCTTGGTTGTTCTTATGCGCATCTAGTGCAGTAAAATTGGTACCGTTAATGATATCATGACTTTAATCTTTATGTTTTCAAACATCTTTTAGGAGTTCGCTACTGAAATCCTAGTTGGTGTGATTTCACAGTAGAAAATGGAGACAGCTCTCTCACCAGCAAAAATCCCATAATTGTAAAATATAAAGACATACACAACAGGCACGGGGACACATTTTACCGCATCCACACAGCACGAGGAACAATCCTAGCAATGAATATAAAAAAAATATGAGGATGTGGTAAAATTTCCAGAGACAAATCTCCACCAAAGACTATAACAGTAGATGGAGACTGCTCTCTCGTGTGTGTTTCGCCCTTTCTTACTGTTTTGCTCTCATTTGTTTCGTCGTTTCCAACTTATTTTCTCTGATGAGTCGTTTTTTTTTATCTGTTTCGATTGTTTTCACACTGTATACCTCGACTTCCAACTGTTTTCACCCTTATGTTTGTTTCAATGCCTTAAACGGTTTTCACTTTCATGTTTGATTTTCCTCTTCCAACTGTTTTCTCTTAAGTTTATGTTTCCTGGACTTCCAACAGTTTTCCTTGCAATTTGCATGATTTGTACTCTGAAGTTAATTCATCTTTTCTAACTGTTTTCATTCGCATGTTTGGTTTGCTGTTTCTAACTTTTCTCACGCTCATGTATTTTCTACCTCGGCTTCCTACTGTTTGCACCCTCAAATTTCTTTATAACTGTTTACACTCTTGTGTTTGTTTAACCCTTTCTAACGTCCATGCGATCAATACTTTATTTTTATATTTCAGAGATGGTCATTTATATGTAAGAGACACCATGAAATTTATTGGAACAAAATATGCCAAAGCGGTTTACAGAGAATTTACTGACGGTTCATTTAAGCATTTAGTAAAACGAAGTTTCAGAGATTACCATCTAGGAATACTAGGACCTTTCGTTCGAGTTGAGGTTGGTGATACCCTTGAAATAGTATATAAGAATATGGTCAATTTTCCAAATACAATTAATATGAGAAATCTTAAAGGCGATAACCACATGGTTCGTGATCAAGCAGAAAATGGAGTTCCACCTGGTAAAACTACAACCTTTAGATGGTATGTTCCAGAGAGATCTGGTCCTGGTCCATTTGACCCCAATTGCGTTGGACGATCCTATGATTCTACAACTAATCCTCTGAAAGACTCGAATACTGGCCTTTTCGGACCTTTGATTGTTTGTAGAAAAGGCGTACTTGATAAGAATGGTAACAGGAATGATAATGTTGATCGTGAGTTTGCTGTAAATTTTGAGAAATACGATGAAACAAAAAGTCACTTTTTCAAGTTAAATACTCGCTTATACGCACCTGGTCGAAAAGATTGTAATGATCCTGTTTTTGTCGAATCAAACCAAATGCGCGCAATTAATGGTTTTATGTATTTCAATACACCTGCACTGAATATTTCCGTCGGGGAACAGGTTTCGTGGTATATAATGTCAACTGGAGACAAATCATCCCAACATTCCATTAAATTCCATGGCCAAGCACTAACCATGAATGTGTTTGGTAAAACCAAACGAACAAGTGTGATAAGTAGTGAGGCAGGAACCTATTATACAGCAGAAATGTTAGCTGACCATGCCAGTTTATGGCTAATGAGTAACCATGTAGGCGAAAATATGTTTAAAGGTTCGATGGCAAGATATACCATCACCGAAGATCCTGTTCCGTAAATATACTTTAGGTAAGAATATAAAGAAATAAATATTTTTAATACAATGTCGAATGCATTGATTTGTCGAATTAACTACATCAATAATGTATGATAAACTATGTTTATCAATGAATTAAGAAATACGTAATGCGCATGTCATGTTCAACGGTATTCCTTAAACTCCACGTCTTAGTCTCAATGTAGTTTTGAAAAAATCTATGATTTCCCTAGGGAAAGCATGATATTTGAGACCGTCAAATACCTTATTGACATTAGCTTCTCATTAATTGAAGTACTGCTTATCTATTCTGATTCATTAAAAAACATTCCTTTGGCTTTAAAGGTATAAAAAAATCAGCTAATAATCCCTAATCACTTAATACAACCTATCATGTTTTATAGGAGTATCACGACGGGTGTCACTAGTAGAGCAGGATCTGTTAACCCTTCCGGAGCATTCAAGATCGCTCCTGGTTTTTGGTGGGGTTCCTGTTACACAGTCTGTAGTTTTCAATATATTGTTTTGTACACTTGTGTGTCTTTTTGTCGTCTATCGTTTATAGCCATAGTGTTGTCACTCTCTCCACTCATGAGTTTACATGTCATATTGGTATCTTCCATCTCTTGTTCATGACATTATATGACGAAATGTATATATTAAGATTTCACAATATGCGTTATTGCTTTATTTGCACACGTCAAATTTGTTGTTATTTGTTATTTAAGCTTTTTTTTAATGATATGTTGTGTTTATATACACTTACAGTGTACCTACTAAACATGTTGCATGTCAGAAATTCTAGTTGCCTACATTCAAACTCTTACGCAAAGGCAACCTTAAACGTCACGATAAATACATAAGTATTTTTTTCTTATTTCAAACAATTTCATCCAACACTTGATATCTTCAACAAAGATATTTAATTGCAGTTTGGTTTTTATCATAAGGAAACGTTGTATGGATAAGTCTTGACAGGATCTGCTTACCCTTCCGGAGCAACCGAGATCACCCAAGGTGTTTGGTTGGGTTCGTGTTGCTCAGTCCTTAGTTTTCTTTAAACCAGGTTTAATCCACCATTTTCTTCGGATAATGCCTATAACAAGTCAGGAATATGACAGTTGTTTTCCATTCATTCATATAAAGATGTTACATCAACATTTTTACGGTTATGTTGTTGATAAAGCCATTCAATATAGATACGATCCATGTAAACTAATCAGTCCTTTATATAAACTTATTTTAAAAGGTTATCAGTTTAACACTGTAATAAGATCTTGAATATTGTTTTCATTTGTACAAAAATTTATTTTGTATCAATAAGTTTAAACATAACTACATATTAGTGCTATACAGCTATGAACATTTACGGTCATATATTCTGTTGATACTTATATGTTGGCATTGCACACGATCATATTTTTCTCTGACTGTTGGTGACGTCTTTACACTTATTCCATTGTATGTATACTGATTGAAACTAGTCTTGGATACATGATGTTTTAGTAGTTGTTATTGGCTTTTAACTGAGTTTCAATAACTGCAAGTACTATCACATCACTTTATTTCTTGTTTTTAAGGGTTTTGTGTCGATTTGATTGGTCAAGCATTACCTGCAACATTATGTATGTGTCTTTCCTAAGTCAGGGACCAGTTGTTGAATATTTTTTTTTTTGTACATAAATCAAGCCGTTATTTTTCTCGTTTGAATTGTTTTACATTTGTCATTTCGGGGCCTTTTTTTAGCTTGCTATTAATCATAGCTGCTGCTCATTTTTGAAGGCTGTACATTGACCAATAGTTGCCAACTTGTACGTCAGTTGGTCTTAATTCAATAATTCAGCAAAAATTGTGTAAACATACATCATGGATAAACAACACAACTAACTAAATCAATCAAAACAAACATACAAGTTAATCTTAGAAAGACGCCAACAACAAAGTTTATTTTGGTAGTTAATAGTACAGTTTAGTAAAACATAATGACATATTCATTTTCTCAGTAAAGTACAAATTAAGTAAAATATAAATACAAGGGTATACAAAATGAAAACAACACTATAAAAACCTTGCGTCCAATTTGCACCTTTACATAACTTAGTTATCAAATAGTATCAGTATTCAACGGACTGGTGATCACAAAATAGAATTTTGAAATTGCCTTCTAGACACGAACTTTATTGCATTGACCCTGTTATTCCTGCTTCTTTTTGTCTGTAACACAATTGTATAATAACGACCACTTCATTATCTTTCGGTGGATTTACAAAAAGCATTAGATATGAAATGAAATAGTAAGGTGAGATTTGTTTTAACATACTGGTTAGAGAATAAAGTTCAGGTTCAAGCTGTTTGTATTATAAAAGTATAATTAGAGTTTGTTGTCTGTGTTGTGAATGAGATGTAGGAATTTTATCTTGACTCCGTTTCTTGTTTCAGGAACAATCACAATCTAACGATCTTCCGCTGGTCCATTGTGTTCAGAAATAAACATCAGTTTTGCAACGTTTGCGGCATTTTTATTAAGAGTAAAAAAAGTAAAACACATGGACCTTTTAAAAATTTGGAATTGCTTTTAACTTTTAAAGAAAGAGATAAAATGGTGGATTGCTATTGATATTATAGGCAAGTTCAATAGAAAGATTACAATGCCATAGTTTAACTTCAGTTTCTAATTTTAAATATTAATTTTCTTTTTGCACAGATCACACATAACTTTCATAGCCTTAGTTTTTATAATTAAAAAAATAGATATTACGTGTTATGACGGCAATGTAACTACTGTCTTTCTCTTCCTTCAGTGATAATTTCATATGTCTAAATCATTTGGATACCATTGGAGTTGTACGATTCAAATTCGTTTAAAAGAACACTTATATGCACCAAAGAAAATTCTAAATCTGAGTTTATCCCTGTTATAGATGAAGTTCGTGGTGATCACTTTTTAGTTTTATGTGTTGTGTATTGTTAAGTATCGTTTTGTCGGTTTTTAATTGATCATCATGTTATCTTCAAATTATGAAATATGAACCTTTTATATATTCTCCTCATTTTGTACAAAAATCCACTAAACGCAAGTTTTTGGGTATTGTTTGTATTGTAATGTTCATTGATCGCTATGGTTACAAATAAGAAGAATCTTATTGTAACGATACATGCTTAACGCTTGAGCAGATTTAGACGTTTGGCGGGTCAAATGTTATAGGGGTGTTTGTTAGGGATTCTGGTGTTCAGTTAGTGGAACATTCAGGGAACAGCCCTATCCAGGTAATATTGTATTCGCCCTCGGGTATATAAGCGGGTAAGGAATACAATTCGGGTACTGTGAATGATCTTACATAGGAGAAGACCAGTAAACCAATACTATTGAAAGGACACTTTGTACCGAGTACAAAGTAGTAAACGTACAGGTTGGATTGGATATTCTAAGTTGACAGAGCAGACTGTCCCACCTGGAGGACAGGCTGTATCAGCCTGCACTCTCTGGTAGTGACAAACTGCCTCACTCGGAGGACAGACTGTACCAGCCCACACTGTCTGGTAGTGACAGACTTCCCTACTCGGAGGACAAGTTGTACCAGCCTGCACTGTCTTGTAGTGACAAAACATTCCATCTAGAGGACAGGCTGTTAGATTGTATTTTATTTGTTCGTTGTTGCTTTATATCGACAAAGAGCCCATTTGTATATTTTAGTTCGTTGTCCATAACATAGATCATGTAGATAGATATATAGTTATAGATTTTTTGTATCGCCGTATTGGTTATGGACAGCTTGAATCCAAGTATTTACTGGAACGTTCGTTTAAGATATAAACGCTTTACTGGTTACACGTTTCATATTTGGTGACGGACGGTTGGGATTCAAGTTGTCTATTAAAAATTATTTGATTGATTGATTGTTATTTAATTCAATGTCAGTTGACATCAGTATTTATTTAAAGAATTAAATTAAATCAACCCTTACGGTTGTAGTTCACGGTTGAGTCGAAACACAAGTGTTTTATTTAATAAAATATTATAACACTATAATTGTTTTATTTGAATTACACTATACTGATATAAATATGTCAAATATTGACGACCAGATTGCTGAAATAAGTAGACAAATGCTGTACAGTATCTTAGTGAAAGCACAATGCAACATGGACTTGGTTGTAAATCTTTTTCACCTAAAGATCAGGGTGTATGTCCAAGGGTTGTTGAAAATAAAGATCATGATTCAGGCGTAGTGACGACGTGGCCTTCTCTATCAGCACACGGTGCATTGGCTGTGGCTGATACACTGCCTTTGCCAGATGGGGATATCATATCAAAACCTCACATGCATAATAACAAGATCAATAAATAAGTCAAACGACACAAATCATAAGTTGTTTCCATATAGAAATTATTAGCCTTAAAGTGGCTCACCCCAATAAGGACCCCTCAGTAGAATTTTTTTATTTGCGCATATTTTGTAGATCTTTTTATGCTGAATCCAGTAATGCAAAGAAAAAAAGGGTCACTAGGCTCGTTTTTTCCTCAATTGGAAGCTAAATGTGCGATTTTGACCCTATTTTAAAACATTTCCAGCCGTTCAACAATAAGGACTACACTAAATTCAGAGACTTTTAGAACTTAGTCAGTATATTCATCATGTGAAAAAAACGTTAAGATTATAATATTAAAACGTTTCCTTGGTTGCTTTAGACCTAAAATTCCTTTTATATTTATATTGATGTTAAAATTTTGTCATTTTATAATTTCAGTTGAAGGCTAAATACATTGGTTAAATCGATTTTTCATAATATTTCTCCAGTGAATTGAATCAGTGGAGGATAACTGAATATAAATTTGTTTTACGTATAATTGTGTGTAATGACAAAGCGAAATTTTGATTATTTTGGTAAAATACGGAAATTTTGTCAGGTGCGAGTTGTTTCCCTTTAATTTGGCGCCAAAATTGGAAAACAGAAAATTCTAGGTCGCCATTGTTGTGCAGCACACAGTTCTGATGTATACGACCATGTACCTGAATAACAGACAGAAGTGGCGAATATAAAACGCTAAAAGTAGAGTCATTGCATATAAAAATATAAATTTGAATATCTAATGCAGCCAAATGTTATCAGTCTCACGAAAAATACAAATTGGGGGTTGTCTCAAAATACTCGCTAATGTAGAAAATATCCTTGGGTTAAAATATGAATGCTGTTTGCGGAACATATTATTTATGTCTTTTCATAGTATTATGTGATATATTCGTTTTTGACTGGGTACTGTGGATTCATTTACTTTCGTGGGTACCAATTTTTGTGAATTGAGGAAAACTTGCATTTTCGTGGATATCTGATTTCGTTGTTTTGGCAAAGTCTGTATACCTTCCTTTAGACATTTTGTTATTCGTTGAACCCTGTACCAACGAAATCCACGAAAATTGGTATCCAACGAATATTAATGAATCCACAGTATCCTCTTGTGTTTATTTGACCTTAAACAGTAAATTTGACAAGTAGTGAACATGTGATTAAACAGGTCGTAAAATATCACTGCCAAAGAGTAAGATTGTTGAATTTGTTGACAATAATATAAATGGCCTTATTGTAAATTATAATCCCTACAGTATAAGGCAATACATGTTATTGGTCGATTCGTCATGATCATAATTTGTATAAAGTTACACCCCTCTTTGGTTTAGAAAAAAGGTCCAGTATCTAGGTACAAACATATGACTTATCTAATTTACCAAATAACACATACATATGAGTTTAAGGTTAATCTTCCAAACTTACAATTCAATATTTGTTATGCTCAGTATATGAAATACAAAATTTGTGTATCCCATATCCAAAACCCATTTGGGTGACCGGTTGCGTCCTGTTTAAAGTAAGAATTTACCAAAAGCACACACTTATATATAACGTGAGTTTACCCAAATTGCACCTATTTTGACAGTTTTTTCATCTACGCTTATATATGATCAGTCAAAAGTTTTCATTCTGTGTTTATTTTGTAGATGTATCCTTATTTTCATTATAGTTCCACCAATTTAATTTTGTATCTGTAATGAATCGTGGAAATATAGGTTTGAACCGACTTCCGAACAAGCTCTGTAATTAGGATTACCCAAAGTGAATCCATGCTTAAATTTACATCCGTAAAATCGAATAACTGATATTTCGATTATTTCTCCAAATATTTAGAACAAAATGACAATAGGCTATGGTTGCTATTCATTTTATAAGAAATGGATGCCTGTAACATATTCTAATTGCTAATTTTTAAAAGTTGACTTTTTATGGACGTCGCATAGCAATTTTACCATATATTTTACTTTTTCCAGTGATAACTTCATCTGTTGATAAATACTGTGAAAGTTAAGTGTATATTTTAATATATTTAGCTATGTTGAAAGACGTGCATAATGTCAAATCATAAAATTACAAATTGTTAAGTCTCTAAGAAAAATTGAAAGATTTCTGCTGTTTTTTTTTTTTTGCTAAATGAGTGCAGTTTTGGTACTCGGTGCAGTTTTGGTACTGTGACGTTATATACATTATACACCTAAATAAAACTTCAAACTTTAAGGTCCTATTTTTGCATTGTTTAAACATATTCATTTGTTATTTAACTAGCATGACAAGACACTCACTTTAGAAGGTTTGTTAGGAGGCTTTGTTTTATTCAGTGACAAAAAATGTGTTTCAACTTTATTAAAAAGTTCAGAATTTTGTTGAAGTCAAATTTGTTTTATTTTATTGTTTTACTAAATTGCAACAATACAAAAACATTTTATACAGTTTCCATTCTGAAACAACCATTTTAAATATTATTTGAAAGAAAAAAAAACTATTTACTAAGTAATGCCTCCTTTTAAAAGATGAATGGTTAGGCCAAATAAAAAAATGAGTTGTTCCTTTTTCATCCAAATAAAAAATAGTTCATTGGACGTTGAAAGTTATTTTTTAAATGCACCAGTAATTACTTAGTTATAACCTCAACATTGGCATTGGTTGAGGTGGAGTACAAATGCGGATTCACTATTTATACATTCAATTCTATTTTGTTGGCTCATTAATGAGCCCATTACCTCTTCCTTTTTTTTGTTGTTGTAAAAATGAAATACATTATGCAGTTAAATATCAATCATGGTTATTTTTTCTGACAGAATTACTCTGAAATCTAATCTCAGGCTTCAAATACTGAATACTGGTTCATATGAGACTTGTAATAGGATGAAGTGATTTGTTGCAAAAGGTAAGTTTGTTTTCGTGAAACCGACCCCTGGAATGTTCCAACTTTACTTGGGAACTATTTGCAAAGTACTGACAGAATTTACATGAGAAACCAAGATCAACTCTATTTCTCAAGTCAGAAATATGACAGTTGTTTTCCATTCGTTTGATGTGTTTGAGCTTTAGATTTTGACATTTGATAAGGGACTTTCCGTTTTGAATTTTCCTTAGAGTTCGTCATTTCTGTTATTTTATTTTTCACTAGTAATTTAACATGAAAACTTACTATACAAAATCTTTTGAGCCTCTGGACTGTTACACGGACAATGTCGTTCACCAGTGTCTGAGCAGAAAGTTGATGAAGCAGAGTTATGTCAAAGAACGTCTCACCCTTTTTCTAAAAAAAGTTCATCGGGAGACACCAGGACCTTGTTGATAAATATTCCGTATCATCTTCACAAATCATTCATGATGGTATTGAAGTATATATTCTAGGTACTGACGTTGTTTATCAACTTAACTACGTGTTATAGTGTTCTTTTAATTTGCTTTGTATATTGTTAACCTTTACTGATTAGTCCATTTTTTATAATATCCTTTTGGCGAGGCTCAGTATTTATACATCCCGCCATTGAGTTATTGTGCTATGATCATTTTTTGTATTCTTGTCTTTCACTTATGATTATGTGTTTGTCTTTAGAGTGTCGATATGCCATTTGGTTTTTCTTTGTTGACATAGTTGATTGTTTTTATAGTGATTAAGGTTGACTGCTGTACCCCAATTTTTGACATTTTTACCTATAGTTATGTCTGTTTACTTTGTTCACACATTTTTATGAATATAATGGAATTTTACGCGACTGTCATTCAAGTGAGAGGTTTTGCTAGCTATAAAACCTGGTTTAATCCACCATTTTCTACATAAGGAAAAACTTGTACCAAGTCAGGTATAAAACAGTTGTTTTTCATTCGTTTTATATGTTTGAGCTTTTGATTTTGCCATTCGAGAGACTTTCCGTTTTGAATTTTCCTTGGAGTTCGGTACTTTGTTATTTTACTTTTTACGGAATTAAATGTACTGTGTGTGGGCTACTTTATGTTGGTGAAACTCGACAAAGTTTGCGTAAAAATATGAATCAACACCGGTCTGAGAATAAAGATCCGCAATTCAGGGTTCATTATAACCATTTTAATCAACTGGACCCTGGTCCTTCTCTATCTATGAAAGAACACATCATCGAGAAAATCTATCACCACACCAATAACCCTATACTAAGAACTCATTTCCAAACAGATAGAGAAAATTTCTGGATTAGGGAACTAGGTACTGCAATGCCCTATGGTTGCAATGATAACATCAAAGAAGTAGAAACATTTGTCAAGTCCAGCCTGCAGTGATGTAAATGTAATGAGCTTATTCAATAATAACTTAAGACCCCAGCGTAGTTATGGGCAAAAACATTACCATCGGCCCAATGTAAAAATGTTTTTCCAAATCTAGATCACCCTCTGGGAGCTTTGATGACCTTCTTTTACATCTTCGTCATTCGCTAGGGTTACAGTACACATTGTTCCATTATTACTACTGTTTTTTCACTGCCTGTTAATTTTCTAAAATGTTTGCACTTGACAAGGGATGCATAAATACATTTACAGTATAGTTTGTGATGCAGCTCGATTCTATCTTTTTAAGTCAGTAAGATCGGAACCATTACATGACGAAAAAAGGAAATTCCTTCCAGTTCAGTTTTCTAATAAAGAAATTGATGCTATCGACATAAGCAAAGTTCTTCATCGCAAAGAGGTAACTTCTAAAATCAAACTTAGTCTGTTCCTATTGTATACTACAGTTACACTAAAACCATGGCACCTAAAGTATTTAACTATAAGCAAGCATTGCAGGACCTTGATTTAGAAGAATATCTAAAAATCCCTCCGACATGTGACTGTTTCAACTCGCCTGATATTTACAACCCTCTGGTCATGTTGTTATTGGGGATCTAAACATAATTCAACATGAACATCTCCGAAAGGTGATATATCATGGTCATAAGTTCAGAGAACCCTAATATATCAATTTGTACCATAACTTCAAAATAATTATTGATTCCATTGAAGACTACGCCAGAACATGGGCTAAACGAGAAGAAGTTTAACTGGACACTTTGTCAGAATGGGTCAAAACAATCAGGTCTCTGATAAAACGTCGAATCCATAAGTTAAAAAGCTGTATGAATGATCGATCAAAGTCCATATTCAGAGACAAGGAGGCTGTGAAATGTCTATTATATCTTCACGATATATACGTTGTTGTTCCTGCGGACAAAGCTTCAAATAATATTGTTTTTGTATGTAAATCGTACTTCTAAAGTGTCTTGTAAAAGAATTAGGAATAAATTAGCACCCAGGTAATCCAACATACAAAAACATATCATTTGACAAGGATGATGATTGTGATGATGATGGATGGCTGCTTGACTTCAAGCGGCAAATTAATATGCATATTCAGGACGAGAACAAGGTAATGTAATATGAATATTAACCC